GCCCAGGCGCCGACAAAAATAACAAAAACAGCCACACTCGCCACTATGCTGGCGCCGCCTCATCGACCCCACGCCTTATACTGTCCCCTGGCTGCTTGCTGTTGGCTGCTGGCACTGACATCAGCTGTCTCATCCGAGTATTTTAATTAAATTAAAATAAACTAAGAGCACTTTTAAATTTTCCCAGAGCCCTCGTTTGTAAATGGGGGTGTCTTCCTAAATACGTTTCTGCAAAGCATAAATGGGGTTGCCGGCGAACTTGGCTTAAATGATTTGCTCCTTGGGCATCTTTCGATTAAAATTTCCTTATTAAATAAATGGCTTGCACTGTGCTTGGGTGCAGCTAAGAACATTTACTTTTGCAATTTTACTAACATTCTTTTCCTCTTTCAGATCGTACAAGAATCAATACAGATACCTGGCTCGGACTTGCATCTCACGTATCAGTCTTCGCAAGCCTCAGGCTACTTGAGCATCGTACGCATGCGCCTCACCGCGGAAAAGATACCAAAGACTCTGACGCATGTTCATGTGGGCGTGGAAATCGAGGGCGCACTTCATGTGAAGACGTATGAGGCCGATCCCAACTTAATACACACGTTCGCCTGGAACAAACGCAATGTCTATCGGCAGAAGGTCTACGGCGTCACCATTGCACGCATTTCCGTCGGCTACCAGCACTCGACCTGCAAGATGCCAGTTTGGATCACGCAAACCGCCAAGCTGCAGGGCTATGACGTCGACATTTCAGACATCGGTGGCTGGGGTCTGGACATACACCACCACTACAATTTCCACGAAGGCATATTACAGAAGGGGGATGGCAGTACGCTTCACATGAAAGAATACCCTCGCACCGTAAAGGTGGTGATGGGCACCGGCTTGCAACGTCCGCTGAACTGTCCCGACCACTGCAACGGCATAGCCAAGGACGCCAAGCTACTCACACCCATCGCATTGGCGTCCGGCCCAGACGGTAGCCTATACGTGGGCGATTTCAACTTGGTGCGACGCATCACGCCTGATGGCAAAGTCTACACAATACTGCAACTGAGTGCCACGCAGGTTTCCTATCAGTATTACCTGGCAGTGTCGCCCGCAGATGGCCACCTGTATATATCCGATCCGGAGCGGCACCAAATTCTAAGACTGCTGCGTTTAGAGAAAGTGAAGGACCCCAGTATCAACAGTGAGCCCATTGTAGGCAGCGGACAGCGTTGCATACCCGGTGATGAGGGCAATTGCGGTGACGGAGGCCCGGCGTTGCAGGCTCGTCTTTCGCATCCGAAGGGGCTGGCCATTGCCGCAGATCGCACCATGTACATTGCTGATGGCACCAACATACGAGCGGTGGATCCCAAGGGAGTCATACACACACTGATTGGGCATCATGGCCACCACAACCACTGGAGTCCGGCGCCTTGCTCTGGCACTCTAATGGCAAACCAAGCACAACTTCAATGGCCCACTGGTCTGGCGCTCAGTCCACTCGACGGTTCTTTGCATTTTATCGACGATCGGCTGGTGCTGCGCCTAACTTCGGACATGAAGATTCGCGTCGTAGCTGGCACGCCCCTGCATTGCAACAACAATGGTCAAGACAAATCGAACAAGACGTCGGAGAATGTGCTGGGCACAGTGCTGGCAATGGCGTTCTCGCCATTCGGTGATCTCTACATCGCAGACAGCGACTCACGACGGGTAAATTCAATTCGAGTGGTGGACACAGCGGGAAATATGCGCTACTTTGCTGGCAAGCAGGAGGGTCTGGGGTAAGTTTGAAAAACTTTTTAGCACACCATAATATACACAGTCGTAATAAACTTTGAAGACATTTTAACATTTCCACTTTGATTCACATAAATTTTTTGTCATATCACTTCGATTAAACATATTTAAAATCTCACAAACGAATGAAATTTAAGGAGACTACACTTTCCATTCCCCACTAAGACCAACCAGTAAATTGGTATCGAATGCCAACGACCTAAAAATATCTGTTATATTATACGCGATTCCCTCAAACCAATCCTTTTAAATATTCACAGCGCTTCTTGCGGCTCCTCCATTGCATTTTTTTTATTTTCGCTCTACATCCAATCTTTCGGAATTCGCGCAAATGCGCCTTCACTCCTCCCCTGACGTACAAAGCGGCGTCATTACCAACAGCTGACAGCATTGTCAAGCCGAGTGTATTGGCGATGCTTATACATATCTGCAAGTCTTTATGGCTGTCAGCTGCAAGCATCTCCAGCCAAGGCCCCACCATAACGGCGGCCCAGCCGGCCAGCAACAAATGCATATGCAAAGAGCAGAGTAGCAAAGAGCCTAGCCGTATACTGGCTCATTTGTTGTTTGGATGGTTAGTTCTTTCGTTCGTTCGCCTTTTAATCTGTCGCTGTTTGCCTAACTGTTTTGTCAAGTTGTTAATTTTTCACTGAATACTTTTCTGTTGATAACCCAGGAACTCATTGCACATCACTCCTCGTGCTCCTCACACATTGGCCGGAGCATACTGCCATTACTTTTTGCGATGAGCTCTGCCTTTTTCCATGCCTCATTGTTCTCTTGCCAGAGCTTATTCTTGCTGTGGGGGACAATTTCAGTTTTTGCTACCCCATTTTAGAGCCACGTCCCCCTGATATCATTTTCACTTGTCGCTGGTTAGTTTGTTCTCCTACATAACCTTGTGTTAGCTTGTCATAGTTTCCGATGCGCGCGCTGTTAAGCGCCCTAATCGTCTGCGATATATGAGCGGTGTTTCGGTGGTCTCAACCTCTAAAACTTCCTTTATTTACTCGCGTGATGTCATTAAGTACCGAGTTCATTTGTTGCACCCAGCCCCAATCCAGAAACCATGTTGACGCATCTGCAGCAGCTCATAACCATTTCAGCGTTTGCTCTGCAATAAAACAAACTCATCTGCCTCATTCCCGTGGGTGGGCGCAACAATGCAGCCAAGTGCGCGTGGTTCGTCGCGGTCGTTGTGGCCAACTTGCGAAATCGGAGACCATGGCTCGTACATCACTGTCACTGTCTCGGCTCATATTTCTCTTTCCACAACCACACACACACCTACTAATGCACATACACACACACACACACATGCTCATTCATACTGCATTTTTTAAGCTAAGCACTCATCAGTTCGCTTGTTTGCCAACTCCGTACTCAACACCCCTCCTATGCTCTGCTCTTCTCTTTCACAGTTCACTAACCTGCGATTGCTCCAATGGCAACACTGTCAACAGTTCAACATCCGGTCTGGCCTCGGCGCTTTCATCAACCGGCAGCGGCGTCGCTGGTAGCGCCTACTCAACGACAATGAATCCGAAACGTACCACCACACCAACAACGCCGGCTGGCAGCAACGGACACGGCAACAACGGCAATGGCGGCGGAAGCGGAAATGGTGCTGTCTCTGGCTATGGTGCTGGTGCGGGCAACGGTGCGGGTGGCGTTGGCGGTGTGGGTGTGGGTGCTCCCTGCATTTGCAGCGGCGGCGGTGTCGGTGTCACGGTCGGCGCTCCCAGTGGACTGGCGGGCATCGTGGCCGGTGGTAATTTAATGTCAACTGGACCAACGACAACCACAACAATATTGCTGGGCGCCAAAACAACAGCTGCAGCAAACGGCATGGGCGGCGCCATGAATGATGATGGCACTTTGAGCAACGCGGAGACCTTGCTATCGTCGAATGCTCGCTTTCAGGCGATTTCGGCCATTTCGGTGGCGCAGGACGGCGTCATTAATGTGGCGGATCAAGGTAAGCTGCGCAAATAAGCGCCAACAATCATACTTTTCATACCTGCTAAGGAAGTTGAGCATTTTGCTAGTACGGTTAGGCGATGGAAATGATAGGAAAGCGACAGCCACTTGACGCGAACAGTTGCAGGCAGTTGCAGGGCATTTCAAGCCAGAACAAACGGTGGACAATACATTTTGAGATATGAACCAAAGCAAGGGGGGTTTTACTTAAATTGAAGAACCAAAGAGAATTAGTGGCAACTTTATGCGCATTTTCACTTCATTTAGATTTAAATGCTGAAGATCAGCTATTACGGACGCCTACTTTGCAAAGAGTTTGCAGGAACTGTTGTTCATATTTTGAATGCGCTGCTCCAACAAGAGTGCTTGCTTTATTAAAATTTGCATAGCTGATGTTGCCTCTGCGCGCGCGATAGCGACTGAAGTGCCTTCTCGGCCAATGTTCACAGACTCAGTTTGCATAATTTTGGCTTTTAGGACTGTCTCTTTCTGCAAATCCATCACACAGAGAGGCGCAAGTGTGCACATAGGGCAACCCCTGTATGCTGCCTTCCGCCCCTACGCAAATAGCCTTTGGTGATTAATGCCGCCGCCATCAACTTTAGCTAATAACATTGATTTTCACTTTTTTGCCTTTCGCACATTTTGCACACACACACAGCCGCCGCTGACCTATCGGTGTAGGCGTGCATAGCTCCAATGTAGTTCGCTGCATCTTTTAGGTGTTGTAGCAGATGGAGGATGTATTGTACTGATGATGGTGGCGCTGTGCGGGCTGTTGAGTTGCTGTAACTTGATTAATTACCCCTATTGATTTTTCTTACTGAATATTCCATGCTGCACAGACACTCTTGCGTCAGACTCACATCCACACTCTCGTAGCTCCCCACAGCTCACTCTTTGCTGTTTTTACATTTCTTTTCGGATATTTCGACGACTGCTGCTAATTTCACTACAGACATTTATTAATTATATTGGATCTTATCTAATTAAGCCTTGGTAATGCGCACAAATTTATACCTTTTGCACGGTCATATATGAAAGCGGCAAAATATGCAAGGCAGCTAATNTAGCCATTTCCTTGAAGTATTTCGCAAAGCTTTGAATAAATACAACATTTTGTGTGTTTAAAGCAAAGAAAAACTCCATTAGAATAAGACCGATTCGATCTTTATTAAAAGATTTCGTATCAAAATATGAGTAAAAAGGGGACTTAGCAACTTTTAACCTAAGCTAGCGATATACATATGTTCAATGTATGCAAGAAATCAACATATTTGGTAAACATTTCAAGTGGGGTTTAATTAGATTTCTTAGAAAGATTTTAAGTAAGCAGTTTTGTAGCCTTTTTTAATAGAACAAAGTTTGAAACTTTTGCTCATTTTCTCCCATTCCATTGCTCATTTCTCCAAAATCCAAATCAGTATGGTGCCACCCTTTCTAAAGTAAGCAGGTAGCATAGTATGTACAAAAAAAAAATATTGGGAAGGAAGGCCTTTTCTTTAAGTCGGTTAAATAGCAAAAAAATATACTCTGAAAACTTGTCAATATGTGTGGAATTATATTTTTGACACGGGGTGTAATTAGGTACGGGTCGCGGGGGAATTAATTACCTGGTCATTAACTTTGCTACTGCTCACAACTACCAACAACTATCAGCTGTATATGGTAAGGATAACAACCCGGAATATTGACTGCTAAGAAAATAATAGAAACAGTTGAGCAGAAAATAAAAACATTGCTTTCTGCATCGATTTGTATCGAAATAATAATAGCCGATGCAGGAAGGATATCGTCAGAAAAATTTCTGTAATTAGTGTCTTCTCCTACTTCCGGTTAGTAAGGTATATAAGTAGTTCCGTGTCGCCTGAATAAAATTTGTATCAAATATTTACATAAGTACTCGCAAAAGATGATAGCTCTCTCAACCATGGATAATAGTGCTGTTGATCTTCTTACTCCCTTTTCAGACGGAGTAAATAGTTTGTAGATTTTATTACTTCAGTTTTGGTTAATAGCTCTATTCTGCGCTGGTAATAAATAAAGTTCCTGTAAATTTGTAAACCCTTTCCGCATTCTGTGTAGTCTTGTAACCGGTAAATTTTGTTACCAGCTCATAAGCTGGTAACAAATGATTGCCCCGTGAAATATGCAAGGCCAGAATTTCAACAATTCTTCATAGCTGAATTGCTGAATATTTTAATTGTATTACCATCGTACCCATAATCGCGGTAATAAAATTTTTCGGCTACAAAATCTTCTGTAAAGTGCAGAATAGACCTGCAAGCGGTGGTTTTAGTTTAGTAGCGGTTACTGAGTGTTAATTATTTCGTCTTTGTACTTTTTGAAGTGCAGAATCAGTGAGTGCCCTTTTTGATGGAGGGTTTTCAATGAAGTTTTTCAATTGGTTTTGTGGGTAAACAATGGTTCTTTCGAGCGATAGCATTGGTCCAGCGACCTTACTCAAACAATTTGGAGAGTGATCTGAGCGTTATTCGAGACAGTGGGCCACATGCATAAAAAGTGAGCTTAAGCTCCGACTCGTTTTTCAGTGCAAAAATTGAGTCTGAGCTTAAGCTCACTTTTTATGCATAAGGCCCAGTATTTTACAGCCAGTAATTCATATGAAATATATTTCAGTATGCGCTTCGAGATATTTCTTTCCTTGCTTCAAGGTCGTTATATTTTAGCAAACTGCATAGTAAATATTTGAAACAATTTTGAAACAATTTTTAATTAGTTTTGAGCATAAAGATAAAAACTCGTATATTAAATAAAAGTATATATAATTCACGTGCATCTTAAATTTACCAACCAAACAATATATGTATACATATATTTACTCCCAATCTGCATACCTTTAGCTTGTGTATGTACATACATACATACATACAAATGTATTCATAGTTACCCTTTCTCCCCCTAATATCGACTAATTTTGTTGCAAATCAGTTCACACTTGATTGCTTTCTAAGTTTTATTTAAGCAATCCTTAGTGAATACCCTGCAGAGAATTGTTCGTCTAATCTCCAAAGAGAGTATTCCAAGATTAGTCTCTAGCCGATATAATTCTAGATCAATTAGTCCCCGACTCACGTCTAACCTATTTAAAGCTGGTTGTTCAATGCGTGATTAACACAAATCGGAAGTAGACACTCCGGTTAAGTACAACGACTGCTTTATCGATCACATGCCGATAACGTCGATAACGATGTTTAACTGGGAGTTAGAATTAACCACACATGGTGCAAACGGCCCCTAGTCAATGAAATTCCATGTGCGGTGTTGGCACATAGAGAGGGTATTCGCTTCACAAACCTGAGAACCCCGAGTGGGGTATTAGTCGCATGCTCCTTTGCGATTGCTCCTGCAGTCATCCCAGATTAGACGCATTTCTTGCAGGGTATGTACGCATTTGTGTATGTGCATATACATACGAGTACATATGGATATGTGTTTTTATGCCTGTATGCACATACACAAATGAGAAAATATAAGAAAATACACTTGATTGCGTTAAGTGCCTGCAAAAATGTTATTGCGGCAGCTCCGGAACTCGTGTCCTGGGAATTCGGCTGTATTCACAGGAAAGCTCGAACGCATGAAATCGACAACCAGAACGCCAATAACAACAATCATACTAAGCAAATGAACTGTGATGCAATCATCAAACCGACTGTGATGAACTCGCAAGTGCACGCACGCACACACAAACGCACATTCAGTTTTGTACATACTGTGTGTGTGTATGTATGGCTTTGTAAATGGAAACGAATGACTGCAAATACAATATCACGCTCATTTGATTTGGAATAAATGACGAGCATGGCAAATAAATTGCAGAAAAAGAATTTGTTAAGTTTAATTGCTTCGATGCTTACCATCTCGGCTACAGATATCTATCTATGTACATAAATTTATGAACGAAATGATTTTATGTTTCATAATTCATTGGCTACGAAAGTAATTTAACTGGGCATTTGAAGTAATTAAGTACTTTTATATTTAAAAAAAAAAGTATTAACTATTCAGTACCATTCACTTAACTTAATTCACTAACAGTTTCTACAAATGCAAACAGTTACACATTTACGCAACCACAGCCGAGAATTTTAATAATTTATTCCTCAAAAATTTTATACTTTTCACAACCTAATAAACACAAAGTATCTATAAAAAAAAAACGAAATGGTTTGTAACGTTTTGCTTCGATGTATGCTTTTCAAGCGAAAAACCAGGAGGAATAGTTACATAAGCGTCCATGTGAAATTCAAAAGGCAAATAATCTGATTAGGCTAGGCGGGCTATTTTTCGCAAAAGTTCACTCGGTAGTCACAAAGGCCCAGAGGAGAATAGTTCCCCTAAATATACTTATATCATACTGATGTTTTGACTTATCGGGAGAGGTCCCCGAAGAGCGGCGATACCTAATCTGCCCATGTCCTCGAAGAAATGGCCAGAGAGATTTAAAGCCCTTTCTTCGTGGTGCAAGTTATTTGCCAGGGCACACGCGTTACTCTTCGTCTGTCCAGATTAGTACACCTTCCCTTAGTATCTACTATGGAACTTCCTTTGTAGGACATCTCCCGTTTCTCGAACACTCGTTCGCCTCTGTAATTCAAGAAACACCTGTAGGCTCTGGGCTCTCCTAAAATATGACAATCGACCATCTAAGAATTTGTGGGAGTTTTAGTTGAGAACCTTGGCTCCTTGGTTACAGACTGGCTGCCTATAAAAAAGGAGAGATCACAGTCGTACAAGCATTGTAGTAGTGGTAACCCCAAAGCTCTCTTACTTGCCTACTCCATGTATCAATTTTTTTAATTTTTTCTTTGTACTCATACATATTTTGTTTAATAAACATACATATGTACGCTACTTGATAGGTACAATTATTGCAGGTACTGTCTTCCCAGAGAACGCATAATCCGATCTGCCTTATTTACAAAACATCATTTTTGCTCACACCACAGGGTTTTCGGTAAGGGAAAAAGGGGT